GCGCTGTAGCAACGACGGTAAGAAAATCACGTTTCACCTTAGAGTTTCATTATTTGTAAGAGTTGCGTTTGTGCATGGGTTTTCATAAATCACCTACATCACCTGTCGTCCCGTTGATTGTCCAGTGACACGAGGGGGCACCAGCGTCACTTCCATTTTGCATTATCGCGTGAAAGAATAGTCCAGTGGTTCCTTCTCGCTCTAGCGATTTAAACTCGAATTTCGCTCCTGTAATAGATTTCCAAATTCTCTTCGTAACTTATGTTTTATGTCATATCGAATAACGTCACAAATAGACATAGATTCATCTACTATTCTTTTCCAAAGATTCCTATCCAAATACTGAACACAATGTTGTTCTTTATAGACGCATTTTTCCAGAAGTGAAAACATACAAAAAACCAACGAACTCCTAGGTCAACTCCGTTATAAAGCGAATTAAGAAAGGTTAGGTCTAGCACAACGTAGAGAGGCAACATTGCCACCACCTCCTTTTCCACGAACGTTCTTCAAACAACAACAACCTGATAGCGAAATTGATTCAATCTTCCGTACATTTTCAGACGAACTCTTCCACATACTTAATCGCTACCGACAAAGCAAATTCAGCCCCAGTCTAACCAAAAAAATAAAACATGGCATGAAAGAAGTCCGAGGTGATAAACTCAAAAAACATCCGGTTATCTATTAGCGAGAACGTTGGGGAATTTGTAGTTATTCCTCGTCAGTTGGATGCTGATATAACGGAGAAACATCTCCAAGATGCTTCTCTCTATCGACCTTCCTCTGAAAAGGAATATAATTCACATTGGCGAAAATTGAATGAAGAATGGGTTCGAACGGCAAAAGCTGCGGGTTTACAACAATCTCTTATTCGTCAACTAAAAACTGAATCACCAACTTGCCCCATCCTATACACACTAATCAAAACACATAAAATTTCTGCTATTGATTTCGGGTCTACCCATCCTTCTACGTTCAAAGTTAGACCAATCATTAGTTGTGTAGGCGGGCCGACAGATAGGAAAACATGGTTTCTTGGCCTCATATTGTCACAGTTATTGAAGTTTATTCCAACCCATCTCCCCAACACCAATATATTTCTAGAGCACCTTAAAGATGCGCGTCCAAATCATACGTATGTAATGGAGTCGTTTGATGTTACAGCGCGCTATACAAACGTCTCAAATGACGTCGCAATACAAGCCACTCATGAATTATTGATAGAAAACATAGAAAACGTAGAAATGTTTGGCTTGTCGGTCCAACAGCTTATCACACTCCTTAGATCATGCCTAAGCTGTTCGATATTCAGGTGGTCGGGAAAGTATTTCGCAAAAATTAGAGGGTTGGCAATGGGGCAAAGACTAGCACCCAACTTAGCCAACGCTTTCATGTCAAAAGTGGAAACTCCAGTTCTCCATCGAAGTCCAATACTCTACTGTCGATATATAGACGATTGCTTTATCATCTGCTCTACACAAGAGGAAATGGATAAATGATTTGAAATTCCGAACGGACAGTCAGCGTTCACTAAGTTGACGCGAGAACAACAAAATTCAGAGAGCTGGCTTCCCTTCTTGAACGTTCAAGTTCAACTTAATGAAAGTGGCTACAACACAAAATGGTATCGCAAACCGAGGAACAAAAACATCTTGGTACATTACCTTTCTTCTCATCCCTCACATACTGAAAAAGCACTTATCCGAAATATGTATCGCACAGCTGTAAGTGTTTGCACGGTAAACGATGAAAGAAGGGAATCACTAGACTTAGCGCGAAAAATAGCCATTTTTAATGGGTACAAAGAAAAAACAACAACTAACGTTAGGCCCAAAAGGAGCGAAAAGCCTCGCAATGGGAACGACAGGGCGCTACATCTGAAAAATGAGTTACCTCTTATACTACCTTTCATAAGAAACGAAGTTAGTACCGCTAATAGAAAGTGTCTAGAAAACAGTGGTCTAAAAAATTCTGTAGGAATTGCAGAAATTCCTTCTAAAACACTACATCGTCAATTAGTTGGCAGCCGCTTGTATGACCGCCTATGTAATACAAAGAACTGCGTTGTTTGTCCCAACGGTAAAAACGGCGATTGCATGAGCATAGGTACAATATACCTTATCTCTTGTAAGACATGTGGTGATGAATATATTGACGAAACAGGCAGACCACTTCACATCCGCATTAAAGAATACTTAGATGGAAAAACAAATAAAGACCCAGGTAAACCTCTAGATACACACAGGATACAAAGGCACAATGATGACGAATTCGAGGTAGTAGTCAAAATCCTAGGACACGAATCAAAAACATCGCCGCGAAAGACCCTTGAAGCTTTCTGGATAAATTCCAGAAACCCTCAAATGAACAAAAAGGGAGAGTGCCTAGTACGTAACCAACCACATGACACATTATCTCAGATTGATTTTCTAGCATGGGTCTCTGCTGGCACCTATCCATAATTTGACCGAGTGACATGGGGACGGGTTCATACGTCACCGTGGCGCTAACAACATGGGTAGTCCCTGGATTAGATTGTAAGGTAAGTGGTTTTCCCTGAATTAGTTATCGCTTATCAATGCCTTAGATTTTCAAGATATTTGTTTTTTCTTCTCATTGTATACAGTCGCGAAAACCCATCGACCGGAAAGAAGCGCAATCGATTGGGAAAAGATACCAACCTCGTGACGCTTCTAATAAAGATTAGTTTTCTAAGCTTTCCCTCTCATTTTCGAAGAAAACATTGTTTATGCGGAACGGATGGGTTTTGAATGGCCCATTCATGCTCTTCGAAACGACCATCTCCGAATGCTTCAGTTACGTCTATCTAGGTTGTATTCATCTGTTGATTTCACGACCTAACTCAAAGTTCAACAAGGGGAAACGAACGGCTTGGAGGAACGTTCAGAAGCATCGGGGATGTAGTGAAAAGGACAAAGAACGTCCGACCCCGTGCCCACCTTTTCAACCCGACGATGATCCTTGGCCTAAAGTATGCAGCAGAAATCTGGACGCTGCGTAAGCAGGATGAAGGACCACTTGGCGTTATTGAACGCGCAGTAGAAAGGTCGATGCTAGAAGTATCCCGTATCTTTCAGATGAGAGGAAAGATCTGACGTCCCGATGTACGTCAAAGATCGTAGATCAAAGACGTCGTTTGGCACACCAGGACATCGAAAATAAGGTGGGCCGGTCACGTGATGCGCATCAATTACAACCGATGGACGAGAGCCGTAACCGACTGGTTCCTCGGGATAGCAAACGCTCTGTAGGAAGACCAGCGACGCGATGGTCCGATTTCTTCACGAAAAGTTTAGAAGAAAAATATGATGCCCAACGAATCCCTCGAGTGAGGATGACCCACTAGGCTACTCTTGCACGCGACAGGGAAAGGTGGAAGTGTTGTTGGTGCCCGCTCAAGACACTCGACTATCAAGGGGGCGCAGGTGGCATAAATACATATATATATATATATATATATATATGCAGAGGGCAAGGAAGAAAATCCTGGTAATTTACATCTTCTTTCGTTTCGAGTGCATCTTGAGATAACGCTCAAATTTCAAGATGCCTGATAATTACTTCTGACCCATGCATGTGGTCTGTTATGGACGCTTGTGAAGTGCAATACACGTCTTTTGGTCTTGCAGCCTCGTCAGTTACACAGTGCCTTTTAGTTTAGTTCAATTTCTCGAATGCCTACCCCTTAGACAGCGTAAAAGACGACGAACGTTTTACGTGAGCCGTTAAATGGTAAATTCACCGAACGGGGAGTGTTGTACGACAAATTTTTCATTTTGTTTATTTTAGTGTTGATGTAACATATTTTTATTAATGCTGATGATTTTATTGAATTCCTTGTTCAACTCTGGCCTGGAATCTGCTTTATTGATTAGCCTATTTTCAGCTGTGCTTCAGTTATGGAACCTGAAAATTAACTTATCGCAGGAGTTGAATTGCGCAAAATGCTCACACACGTTTTCAGCGTAAATTCTTCTCATGCGCGTGTCAGAGCCGCTTTGAACGCGCCTACGGTATTGTAACAAGTAACCGATACTTTTTCCTCCAGTATGGAACATACGGGGAAATCCATTGGTCTGAGACCGGACGAGTTTGACGGCCTAATGTCCTCACGTCAAAAGCCTGGAAACTGCTCTTGACGGATGGCAATAGTTCAAAGAACCGAATGCGCAAAAGCTCAGTCCTGCTGAAGCGTAAATCCGTCGACGCCAAAGTGTTGAGCAATCCCAGGCTTCAGTGTACCCCCGTGAAGCTTGATTATAGCTGGCAGCGTTGATTTTAGCGTTTCCCTTGATGAAGATCAATGGCGTTTTTCCAGTGGTGCAAATGCCAGCCCAGCCCATCACGGAGGCCAGAAAAGACTGTGACCTATGTTTTTTGCTACTGCGGACTTCTGCTGACCTTTCTTGAAAAGATGGAACCGTTTATGGCGATTGTGAAGTGGTTCGGATTTGACACGCGATCGGAACGAATATGACGGAAACGTGTGCGAGCATCTGGTGCAACTCAACTACTGTGATACGTTGATTATTGCGATCCATCTTGAGCACTACTGATTATGGACAAGTAAATAAAGCTGATTATAGACCGAAACTGCAGAAATAACTTAATTAAATCAAAACTAAAATTAATAAAATAAAAATCATCATAACTTCTTCCGCACTCTGTATATCTTATGTGCGAAGAAAATTATGAGTGTGAAAAGTAATTTTCTTCTTGCTCTTACAGCATCCTATAGAGAACATTTTGAAACAAAAATTTAGTCTTTAAAATTGATACAATTTATCCTGTCAAATGGCTCTAAATATTTGAGTGTAAAGCGATCCACCTATTCATGGGTCTAAGCCGAGAAAATAAACAAAATCGAAGGGGAAACATATTTCATTTTTGATATTACAGCTCACTAAAAAACGTTAAAGTTTCTAGTATTCTCGCTGCATTTTTCGCTAAGACAATTGAGTGGTGAGCAAGAATACGACCTCAGACGGGAGTCGAACCCGCTTTTCATTCATACCGAGGATTCGTGCTACCACTATACCACCGAGACACGTTCGCGCCACCACTCATTCTTCAATTTCTCTATGATAGCTGTCAGCCACCAACCTTCAACAGGTTTGGTGGGTATGAGATTCTGCTTGATAAACCCAATATTTTTGTTCACCACTCAATTCTCTTAGGGTATAAATAAACAACTTTTTCTTGAAAGACAAGTAAAGTATCGTAGTTTCCGTGGTTTGAGCTATCGAATGGTTGCTAAAAGTATAAGCGAAAAACTTTCACCTAAAAGTCATAGATCCAAAAGGGTTTTCTACGTTTTATTATCATTGACTTGGCATCAAATGCACAGTGCAATTGATGTAAGATTCAACAATGATGTAATATTCTTTTATTAATAGTGGTGATTTTATTGAATTCCTTGTTCAATTCTGTGTAACATCATTTTCAACGAATTTCATCTGATTTCCAGTCATTATGATGACTTTTTACTATTGTATATGATGAAATATAGCAAAACTACTGGCTTTAAATTATAATATCCTCTGTCTAGCTTTCACAATTGACGATGCCCAGCAATATAATTTGCGTGGCGAGAGGAAGTTTTTTAGCCACACATAAGAGTCATATTTGCGCTAAACTATACGGATGCGTAGAGAAAATCGCGAAGTATCGAAGTTAAATATAAAACCTATATTTAATTCCAAATTGAAGAAAATTTCCTAATTAAATATCAAAAATGGCGTCGCCGCTGCGAATTGCACTACATGCTGCGATTTCTACTGTGGCACTGTGGGTTAAGAGTGCCTGTGAAACAGTGGATAGAAATACCCTGCTCGCACACAAGGTCGATGATTTGATTTCACGTTCATGGTTCACCAAGCCTTCCCATCACTCGGAGAGACCACACTTGTCAGTAAGGATAAGCAGCTTCGAGTTCATATATAGGTAGGGCACCGCAAGTCATTGCAGAGGCCTTATATGTTGATTGATATATATTGATTCATCTCAAGCGAAGCTAAAAATTGAAGAATAATGCCTGACGCATCTCTAAAAGATTAATCAACGCCAAGACCTTTATTCCTCCTATCTTTCCAGTGGATCATTCCTGTTAAAAGGATTGGACATTCAATGTGTGAATGATCAAAAGCATGTGGTTATTAATGAGTTCTATTGACAGTTATAGGCTCTTGTAACTACCGATCCATTCACTGCAAAAGATTTTCTCCAGCATTCCATGGGAATCCTCTTAATAATAGAAATTTTCTCCATTGAACAAACGTGATTAACGCCGAGTCAAGGTACATTTAAAATTCTGAAATTTGTCGTCTTAAGGCTTCTTCTGATGTTTTATATATCACGAATGTCTCATGGTGTTGTTACTTCCATGGTGTCGTATTCTTTGATGAAAAAGCCGATGTTCTAATTGTTGTCATCAATGCTTTTTTGAAGGCCATCTTCAAGAAGATTATCATTTGGAAATATACAATGCCGATAGGCTAAACATTTTCTTCACTATCCATATATCCGTTTCACTATTACATTACTCGTAATGCATGTTTAATTTCATTAAAATAAAATGCTTTGCTGTTGATTAAGAAGTGACGCTTAGCATATTCACAACATTCCTTTCATTGTTTTTTTTTTTGTTCAAATGCTCGTTATCATGATGTAACTGATGATTACATCAGAAAGCATTATACTTGTAGGAGAGGCTGTTTATTCAACGGTTTTTAGCTGTCGTATGGCATTATAAATATAATGATGCAGAATAATGCGCAAATCTTTGCGTTAGCTAGGGCTTGAACCCATATTTCACCCTATCCGAGGGCGTGCGCTCAAACCGTTGCGCTACCGATGCCTGTTTTAACACGCCCTCTATTATACGTGTATAAATTTGACAACTTCAGTCTTCTGAGCGCATTGGAGTGAAATGGCGCACAATCTCTACTATCTCGTCGTAGACGTAATACTTATATCGCTTCAACTGACGGTGATTATCTGCAATGGATTCATTCTTCTTCTATTTGCCAGGTAGTAACAAAATGATATGTCGTAGCATTCGTGGTGTCTAGGGAGATCTCGTAGAACTAGATTTGTTTTGATATAATAGTTCCTTTCTTTCAAGAAAGAAGACTCTTCGACGAAACTCGTCTCGACAACTAGTTGTGCTTTTGACAATTACTGACTTCCTACACGCCGTTTCAAGTAAATCATTGCGTTATTTATTCGAAAAATTTAAAAAACTTGTTGAATGCTCAGCTTCAATTTTCAGCTCTTCCTTATACTATTTATCTCTTGATTGCATGGGATCCAGTCTATTTAAATCTAAATTCTCATTATGTAATGATTTCCACCATTCCTGTGATTATTCAGCTAAAGATCAACCTCACATTAACTATATCCATTGCTATGGAGAGAACTTTGGTATGTTCTGTCTACAAAGTAGGTTGCCATCTAATTGTAGAATTTTGCAGGCTCTGTACTCCCCACTGGTGTTCCATAAGCTGTCAACTCATTCGTATGCAATATATAGTCTGTGGTTAGGATTTTTAATCGCGTCAGTGGACCTCGTTTTGGAATTCTCCCTCACACCTTTCAATAGTGCTCCAAACTGCGCGGCTATCGGATGTTTCCTAAGTGAAACTTTTCGCTACTACTGGGGAATCAGCAACATGGTATACTCTTTTTCAAAAGCTCTTCATATCTTACCAATGCCCATTTTTAGGTGATGGGAATTGTGGTGATTGTTTTGACGATTTTAATTCTCACTAAACTTCGTGCTCTTCGGCGAAGGCTACAACCAGTTAGAATTCTGAGATCCAGGGAGAACAAATTCAAGCAGGTACAGCCATTATAGCAGATGTTCAGTTCTTGATTTCTAAACTTTAGGCTAATCGCCGGAGCGTTGGAATCCTTCTTATGTCATTGATATATGTTACTCTTCCAAGTGTGGGTGCTGGTTTAGCCAAAGCGATTGGATTTCCTGTTTTAAATGTCATTGGTCCGTTCTACATTGTTGGGCTGCTTTGTGCTGGTAAGTTCTGATGCGATTTTTGGTAGGAAAAATTTGCTGCTGAAATAGCTAATATATGTTGTAGGCGCATGTAACAGTGTCGTATACCTCGCACTTAATAAAGAAATGCAAGAACTGGCAAGGAAATTTATCTGCTGCAAAAAGCTGCCGTTGTCTCCAACTGTGGTCACAATCAGAGCTTTGTCAACAGATGGAAGATAACCTAGTGTTCTATTAATGATATAGACTGTACTTTATTATGTGTAAATTTAAAGAAAATGTCTTTATGTATGATATTTAGTAGAGCGGATGACGTTCAGTGCATTATGAGAAAAACGATTAACATGAAAGCTGAACAAGAGAGCTTGAAAGAATACAGGTAAGGTCTAAGATTGGCGGAAGCAATGCGGAGGTGGCCTGACTGAGACACAGCCCTCTTAAGAAAAAGATCTAAGTTTGAGACATTTTTGACTACAAAACTTTAACCTACGATGACGCTAAAACTATGGCAGAGAATCTACTCCTCTGTGACAATCTCAAAATAGGTAAATAGATAGTGCTAAAGCGCCGTTAATAAAAAAAGACAGAAGGAACGAAACCAATGCAATATATTATGAATACATACAAATACAATTCAACATGAATACATAGTCCAATTTGTATTTCTAAGATATCGCTTTACATTTGCTGACGCACCCACAATCACAGTAAGTTTTTTTGTACCACTTGTCCGTGGCAGGTCACCAAGCAACGCTATCAAATAGCACTAATGTATTTACTTATCTCTGTTGCTGCCGAACAGCCTATCTAATTTTGGTCGCTCTGGACTTACTCAGCATGATCACTTTTCTTTTTCTAAGTTTTCTGAGATTTTCTATTAACAAGTCGATGACCACTCTGCTGCGCGTGAGACATTCGGGTAATCTAATGGCTCTCAACTCTTGCTCATCGTTTGCCGTCCAAATAAATGACGTGTGATGGCCTCTGATCTTTGGGATCTTCAAAATGTATAATGACGTCTCTGGACATTGATCACTGACGTAGGACATCGTATTATCTGCTTCACTTGCATAATTTGAGATGCTTCCGGCACTTCCTACATTAATCGTTCGATAACGCGCGGTGCTACTTAATTTTGCCTCTGTACTTTTAGTGTAGACTTTCGATGCGTAGATTAGAGCGGAAAAAATGTAGAATCATGTATAATGGGGCGGACTCGAGTCTTCCTTCTAAAACCAGCTTTTATTTAACATCGGCATGGATATTCAACGATATTTTGCTGTATTCATGAACTGGCGTAAAGCTGTTAAGCAATTACAATTTCACAATAATTATTTGAGCCAACATGTCATGTGGCGTGTTATGTGCTCTTATACAGCTGGATTTCAATATGTCTCATAATTCCAAGGTGGGCGATGGGCGCTACAGCTACATCGAGAAGCTGCATTTTTTTGCTGTAGTGTAAAGCAGTCAACTAATGTTGGTACAAAGGACGAGTCCAAACCCCACACCCTCCTCGACGAGCGCTGATCGGATTTTATTCGTTCTGACGTTGTCAAAGGACTCCTTGTAGTTGAGAAAGTTAAAACAAGAAGCAGATGGTATTTAATAGACTTCAGTGATCTGTAACACGGCTCGGATGTGGTCCTTGTTAACGAATCCTTGTCAGGATCCTGCGTGGCCAACTGGTTGTGCCTCATCCAAGGTCTTCCACATGCGTAAGGGGATCTTCGTGAAAAGTTGTAGAATAGACTCAACAAGCGTAGGGAACGGTAGTTGCAAACATTTCATATGCAACATTTCTTGGCTACAGTGACTATGCTCAAACCTGCTTAATAAGTCTGATTTTTCTTCTCTCTAAGGTATGATGTCATGTGTCTTGGACTTGGAACAATGCCTTTCTTTATATTTTGTATGCAACTCGAACTGAAAGGTATAATCACAGCTAATTTTTCATTAGTAGGAACTATGGTCTGAAACGTGTGATGCATAGCGGAAAAGATAGGCATAAAACTATTCCGTTGTTATCTGATAGGGATATAACAAGTTTTGAGCTGTCAGGTCTAGTGGTATACAGGCACCTGTTTCGTCTTATTGGGACTGATCAGTATCACCCTCCCTCGGTTCAGCTGATCCCGTGATACTGAATAATTCCTTATAAACGGATAGACGCCGAGTAAAAGAAATCTTTTTTGATGATCCATCATACTATCTTTTTTGATGATTTTGATGAGATCTATCATTTTTGATGGTTTTTTGATTTTTTTACTCGGTATCGATTCCTTTATGGAGGTATATTTAGCATCTGGGGAATGGCTGAACCGAGGGAGGGTGGTACTGATGAGTCCCAATAGGACGAAACAGTCGCCTGCATACTATTAGTACTGACAGCTCAATATATGCTATTTCCTTATCACATCATATCATTTTTAGTGGATCTATAGAATAGCGGTCAACAAAAGAGGTATTTCCCGTTATTAGTTCTAAATCAGGCGGGATTTAGTAATGACCACTTTTCGCTCATCAGAGAGCACAAAAGGTAGTGTTAAAGGATAAAGCACTCGCCGTTGATCAATCTCTGCGAGATGCATAATTCATTTGTCTTCATCGAGCATCATTTGATGTGTCTGAGTGAAAATTTGGATTTTACAATGGCTCACGGTGGCCTACCGATGTGTGAAGTCAGTGTTGCTAACCCCCAAACAAGTCTGGTACCAATTACTTGATCTCGAATATATGAAACTCTTGTTGTACCACGGACATGTACTCAAACCATCGAAAGTGATTGATATACCACATGTATATCGCAAGGTACCGCAGTTCCGGCGCTTCTGCTCTCCCATCACTTTTTCTTCGCCACAATTGCATCGATTGTAGGTAGAACAGAAGCGTCGATAGCACAATGGTTATTACGCGTCAGCGAATAGAGTAAAATGTGGGTTTCAATCCCGTCTGACGTTTGAAGTTTTGCACATCACTTAGCAGCATTGGATAAATATTTGCAACAGCATACCACCACCAGAAGCGGTTAAATAAAGAATTTTAATTGATTATCGCTAGCTTAGATGATCAAGTAAAACTCCTTTTATTTAACCTCTTGTAACAGTGGTATGATGTTATAATATACCAGGTGATGTAGAGTGATGTGCAAAACTCTTGTGGCCGGTGGGACTTAAAGCCACATTTAACCCTATGCGCGCCTGCTCAAACCGTTGCAATCTACTGATAGATGCGTTGTAGCGCAAAAAGCGTGATGTCAAACCAGGGGTTGGTAGTGCAACGAATCACGCACGCGCCCCAAGATAGGGTGCAATTCGAGTTTCGAGTCCATCTGACGCAAGAATTTCACACATCACTCTACATCACTAGGTAGATCATCAACTTTGATGGGTGTCTTGCACTACAATCGAGCTTCATTTTCCTTCTTTTCCCTGCCAACTCTTTAGTGGCAACGAAAATGTGATGTAAACTTCTTGTCTGAGATACCGATGCTATTCGGCACAAATTTTGTTCCGTCGACAATCAACTTATAATCTTTTATTGAGTTTTCGTTTATTTATCAGTTATATTAAAAGGAGATTCACTGAAAATGTCTTCATTGTACGAGACCTTATCGTTATTCGTGAACAACGAACGAGAGCACTTGTTTGCCAGCTTGTGGGTGAATCTTCTTACTAAAAAGCAATGATCAGACCTGTATAGAACCTGAATACCACTGATGTGTCCAAGAGGCACCATTTTTTGTTTGTAAGATTATGATTGATTTCCATATAAGTCGAGCTGTTGGAAAATTCCCATTCCATCGGCGATCATCTCTCTTCTCAAAAATGAAATTTCACTTAGGA